AAATATAAACCAGAAGGAAAATGAAGATAGCTGCAAGTTGCACCTTCGCTGCACGTTCTTGCATTATTGCTATATATTTTTTCAGCAATTTTTCTTCTTCTTTCTCCTAACATCCGTTTATGTTTATCGTCGACATGAAGTCAAGGATATGGCTTTTGTTTATTTCCTTTGTTGATGTTGTGTTCATAACTCAGCGTTAGTGACTGAACAGTAATAAACACCATTCTCTTGGTCACGTTTTTTATTTAAATTTTTTTTTTCATATTATAAGTACTTGTTTTTAACAATATTTTTTTTTTCGAATTTTGAAACAAGTAAAAATTTGCTTATAAATTCAAGTACATATATTAAAATAGTAGTTTGAGTTATTAATATGACCAGCTCAATATACGCGGGGAGATTTCGAATAATCCTCAAGGATATAAATTTAAAAAGTTATCGTAAAATATTTACCTCAATATGATTTTTAAAATGCAATTTTCGGGTTCAAACAATTTTTAATTATTTTCCGTTGAATTTAACCTTTCATCGATTTTAATTGATTTATTAATTTTACTTGATTAACAAAATTTTATGTCAATTATTTTACAGAATCAGAACCATTATAATGCATTTTTAGTGATATTTTGATATTAGATACTCAGTGGTGTTTATACAACTAAGTAGTAGCCAAGTTGTCCTTATTTAGGGATAATCTTGTTGTTTCACATAACATTTGGGACAAAGTAAAACAAGCATTTGCAAACAAAGTAAGATATGTCAACATGTGGACACATAAATATCACATGAAATAAGAAGTATCACGTTATATCTCAGAGTACTGACACTTTGTCTTATGTTATTATTATTATTATTTCCTTGGTGTATTTACAATATATTTATTATTATTATTACAGTGTATTTATGTATTAAACTTTGAGTGAAGACACCGCTTTTAGTAAGAGCATAGGGCGAAGCATTGTCCTATTTTAGTTTAGTATAAAGCTCCAAACTCTACGATATGGATTTGCAACATATACATGATTGTATAAATTCTCTTCATTATAAACTTTAAACATCGCACTAAATATGAACCATCATGCTATACTTCAGTTTATTTACTGAAACCTCTCGCTAAGGTAGTTCAATATAAATCCCCAAACTCTACGAGTTACAACATACCTAAATAAGTTTTGAGGTTCTATTAGTGAATATATGATATCAGTTAGTTCAAACTTTCTATCATCAAACGCATCCATTTTAGTCGTCTTCTCTAGCATGATATTATGTTGTAGTGCATTATTGTTTTTTGTAGTCAACTGATATTTATTCTGATTACTTGTTCATCCCAATGTACATGTTTTCAGTTATAACAAAATCAACAGGCCGACAACACTCCATCGCAAAGGTACTGTAGTTCAACAGTATAAGGCAAGCTGTAGCTTTCAATTGACATATTGATTAAATTAACTAATTTCGCAATATTTGACCCTGAAAGGGCTTTATATCTTCTTCACTATGCGGCGGTATAAGTCGACTATTTTTAAAAATTTTTAACACACCTTATTATAAAGATGTTTAGCAAATATCCACACTTTATAAATGTAAGGTTTTCATTTAAAAAATATATTGCAGATTTCTAGCAGAAACTACGAAAAGTATTTCAAATATTAATACACTACTTCTGAAAAATATCTTTAGTTGTTCAATAAATATATTTAAATTAATTAATATGTTTTTTTTATATTATATATATATATAAAGTCCTCTTAATTCGACATCAATCTACAGTAAGAAGTTTTGATCAGGATTTTAGTGTTACATAAAAATTAAAAAAAAACCACTAGTTTAAATAAATATATGAACATAAGTATAAAATTAAAAATTATTTATAAATATTTGTAAATATATATATGTAAATATATTTATTTGATGCTATTCTTTTTTTTTAAATTTATTAAAAAAATACTACCCTTAACATCGACATCTATCTACAGTAACAAGTTTTGATATTCATGTTACATGAAAATGAAAAAAAAATAATACTAGCGTAAATAAATATATCTAAGTATTAAATTAAAAATCATATATAAATAATTTTAAATATATATATTATTTATTATATATTCATCCTAACATCGATTGATTCCTGACACCGACATCCATCTTCCGTAATAAGTTTAAATCACGATTTTAATATTTTTATGAAAATTAAAAGAAAATGTTAACTTAAATATATATATATAAGTATTGAATTATAAATCATATATAAATAAATTGTATATAAATGTTTTATTTATTTGATATTGCTCTTTTTTTAAATTTATATATATGAAAATCACTCTTTATATTGACACCAATCTTCAGTAAAAAGTTTTTATCATGATTTTATTGTTTCATGCAAATTAAAAAAATAATTATAGCCTAAATAGATATATATAAGTATTTAATTATAAATCATATACACATAATTAATTTTTAAATGTATGTTTAATTTGTTTAATATTATTGATATTCTCTAAAAATCGGGAATAATGCATTTTCCTAAATTATGTGATTTTTTTCAAAAAACAAAAAAAAATCGAAATTAATTAAAAAATATTTTTAATTATTTATTTCTTTTTTAAGTTGTTTTGTGTATTTAAAGAATATTTTTTAAGTTCCAAATTTTTCTAAACACTTTGAAATTAAACATGACCACGACATTTGGCAATAACAGTTTCTACGTAATACGAAAGTATTTCACACCTACGTTTCAATAGCACCGACTTAAAAAAAAATACTCACCTGGCGGGGGAGCACATCCAAGAGGACAAAGTAAACAATTTGTACCAGATATATCTATCTATTTGTATGTTGTAACATTAAAACAATCTTTTGATTTTGAATTGGATTTTGTTTTTAAAATAATTATTTGCAGCGAATAGATTGAGGACGGTCGCTGCCTCAGGGCTGCTTTAATTTATTAAATAAATTTTTGATTAACTATTTTGATGAAAGATTTCCATTTTCAAAATTAAACAATCATATCAACTCAAAATCCAATCAAGGTTAAACAAATAAAATAATTTGCATTATTTTGATTACTAGTACACAATTGAAGTGTATTGAACGTATTTTTATTGAAAATATTTTAGCATTTTGTCTATCAAAATTGAAATTCAAATATATTTTTTAAAAGAAAAAAAAATTATAATGCATTTGGCACTTACTAATTATTTACATTACAAACTTACATATAGTAATTTTGTATATATCTAAAATGCAATAATTCCTTTGAACTTAATTGAAGCAAACAAAAAGAAAAAATATCAAATAAAAAGTGAAAGTGAAAAAATATTTAATAATTACTACCTCAAGCCCTCTAAGTATTGTCGGTTGAGATTTTAAGTTCTCCTTGGCCTTGCTCAGATATACAAAAGAATCAGCTGTACGAACCAAAACACGTGAACATATGAAGGGCGCGAGCAATTAAAATAATAAAATACAATCTACAAACTAACAGTGAGTGAAGTCAGTAAACACAGAGAAGTGTGTGAGCAAGAATAAGCCATCAAATCTCCTCGTTTAAGTTCTATAGTTTAATTTGATGCGTGTAATTATACAAATATATACATTTACATATATATGTTGATTTCATATACATTTATATATATATATGTATATAGCTTATAATTATATTTTCCATCATGTAATGTGCAATACTCCCAAAACAAACAAATTGTCTTTTAGTATATCCGTGCGTAAAGTAAATGTTGCGAGCACGTCCAACAGTTTGTTTTATTTCTGTTCAATTCTTGTGTTATTCTTTTAAATATAAAAAAGCGCAAGTCTGTAGAGTGTGAAGAGATACATTTTTTGTGTTAACATTGAAAAATGTTTTTTTTTTT